ATATTAAAACAAAATATAAGTTATTTAAGCAACGGTTACAGACAGGTTCTAACAAAAATAGCAATAAAAAAGTCAAGTTAGAATGTTTAAATTATGTGAAAAAAAGATATAATAAATTAATGGTAAATCAATATGATGGCTAATGGTTAGCCACAATTGTGCTAAATGTTATCTAAAAGATACAGAAAAGTTACAGATCACCCAGTTTTTAATTGTGTTTCACAGTTAAAATGTTAATTTACCCTCCTGAAGACGAGTTTATTTAACCACGTTTTTAGCCTGAAGTACTGAATTTACAAATATTTTCCAGTGAAAGAATCCCTTTCTCCTCATCTACAGTCTGTTAAATCTTTTCTTTGGGTGTGTAAATTTGGAATACCAGGTAAATGTATGGAAAAATGATGAATTACGGCGGGGGTGTCTGTTGACGTTTAAGAAAAGCAACAGCCGGGTGGTAGCGTTAGCAGAAGAAGGCAGCTGTTTGTCAGTCATGTGAGGCAGCTGAGGCTCCATGAATAAACATATGCTGCCAATTATACTGTGCAGTACAAAGTACAAACGACAGGAAAAGAGCAGGCTGTCTATTTACATAAAGTCGATGTGTATGTTATTATGGGTTTTGAATTTTTTTTTTCCACCCCAGAAGAACACGCCCTCTCTCTACATATCTCCACAACAATTGTCATTTTGACTGATTGTTAATTGACATACGATATCTATACCAGTGGTCCCCAAATTGTGGCCCGTGGTCTGCATCTGACCCTTCGAGTAAACTCTTTGTGGACACCAAGTTGACAGTTTCCCTCTTCTTCACCGAGTGTGTTTTGGTTCAGTCCACACATGTAGATGGGCTGTCATCTTTAAAGACTGTCAGCGAGAATGGCACTTTTTACTTCCGCTTTTGAAGGACTACACATATCGATACTTTGCCTGCAGTAGGCGCTGAGATTGAATTCCTGAGAGCTTTAATTCACCTTAGTCCTTTTTTTAAAAACATCTCAAACTTAATTTGAGCATTTAATTCTATTTATGTTAAAATAGAAATAATATTTTCTGGACCATATAGAATTTGTATTTGAGAACCTCTGATCTATAGGGTATACGCAATGCAAGGCTAGTGGACACAATGGTCGATTGTTGGCTAATTTTGTTTGTTTTCGTGGCTGTGTTTGTTTCGTCTTTCCACCCATTTCCCACCACCATCTGTTCTCCCCTGTGGTCCATTTTCAGCTTCACTCCCTGCACGAGTCAAGCAGTGACAGTTCTCATCCCCAGTAGGTTAAGTGCATTTTGACCTTTGGATTCCACCGCTCACGCTAGCGTAACAAAACCTGAAGCAAACTTTCATGGATGCTGATTGAAAGTGACAGAAGTACTTTTGCCTCCTGGGCCTTTTAAGCGAATACACCGTTATGATTTTAACCTTTATCTGATCATTTACAGCAGGCATGGCCCTCTGCTGTTGAATACCTCTCTGTGTCTTCAGATATACTCCGTGTTAAAGTGCCAAGATTTTTTTTACCGTCTGTACTTATTGATTAAATAAAACAAATGCTCTCCCATGATTCCTCAGGGCAAACATCAATAGTTAGCGGGCTGATTGTGTTACGTTCAGCACATTATTCTGAGTAATTGAATTATTTGTCCAATGCTGTAAAAATCCGACCTTTTAGATTCCGAATCCCACATTATTTTCAGCTCAGAACAAATGTTGTAATGTGGGCCCTGGTGAGAGACTTCGGTAGGATATATTAGCTATTACAATCTAGAGGAAGTATTATAGTCCAAGATCATTCTATTTTAAAAGTCATGATCGTTTTAACAACATGTGGTACTCTATGCAGTACCTCTGCTGGACATTGGGGGCAAGCTACAAAAACCTTCAACTTCCATAGAAATCACAATATGACAACAGCGGTGATTGGTGACATTGACTAGTTCTATGTCCTGTCTTTGTCGGACAGACTTTCTGTAATAAATATTTTTGTTTAGATCAGAGTTGTGAGAAATTGAAAGGTTGTCGGTTCGTAAAAAAAAAGGGGAAAAAAGCGATTGGTCGCAAAAGGATGGACGATAAAGAAAATCAAGTTGGAACAAAATCCAATCAACATGGGACTAAGACTTAGTCGCCAAAGACTACATTAAAATTGGCAACAACTTCACCATCTTTTATTATTCTATCTCATAGTCATGCTTTATTGTTTATTTCCCTCAAAACAGGATGAGAAAAAACGTAAGATATTAAGGCTTATTATTATTTTCCGTGTAATCAATCAGGTCATAATTAGGCAAAAACAATTTTGGAAAATATAATCGAAATGTCATCTCATTACCGATTTAACAACTCGTTTAATGTTAATCCGCTTCTCACATCAGGTGAAGCCAGTGAAAGTCATACTCCGCCAACGAGTCGATGACTTTTAACAAGGTAAATCGTAAACAAACGCATCACATATTAATCACACACTCACTCAGAGTGGCTCATCCGCTCTCTTTCCATAGAAGCGACCACCAGTCCACTGACGGACTCTGAGATTTTCCACTCACACTCCACGGCTCTCAGCTCTCAGTGGACAGCCAGCGTATGTACGTGTATCAGTATATACAACAGGCTCTCCGTGAGCCATAAAGAATTGATGGCAGACACAGATGGAGCTCTGTTACATCACCCTGTTGACGGTGTTTTGAAGTGCATCTGTGACTCACAGATACAGCTTCTCTTAAAGCACCTATGAAAAAAAGTGCATCAGAAAAACGTGTCAGGTTGTTTATCTTCAGGGTAATTCTCCTAATTTGATCTACGTTCGACTGCATGGTCACATTTGTATTGAACAAACGATCAAATAAATGTCAGGGAAACAGTCTTATTATTGGGTTACAGGCACCAGAAAATGGTTTTCTTGTAATTCAACCTTTAGCCTGCTGTGTTCTGTGATGGGGCGGGGAACCACAGAACAATGACAAAAACATTTATGGAAACGTCTCAGGAACGGTGGAAAGATTAAAAAAAAAAAGGAGCGCTCCTTTTGGGTGCCAGTGACAGGGGAGGTGCACTTGTTTTACATTTCCGTCAAACGGTGACAAATACAAGAGGATTCAGAGACGGCTGTGTTCCTCACAGACACACTTGTATGGAGCTCATCAGAACTTGTGTCAGGGCTGTAAGTGTCGCAGAGCCAACTGCAAAAAGGTTGAGCTCATTGTTCCTAATCTTGTCAGTCTAGTTCTAATCATCTCTTGTTTTTCATACAGTCTATTTGAACTTACATTTAATATGTACGTTAATAAAACAAAGTACAAATTAATGATACATAAAATTCGGTCCATTCAACTTGTTTCTGATGGTGTTTTCACTGCCCTCTACATGTAATTTCTTTTTTATCCCCATTTTTGTGATTTTTCCCAGACTCCATTCAAATCCAGAGAAGTGGTGGTGAACCTGCAAAATGACTGTAGATGCAAGGTATTAAAATATAGTTTGAATTTGGATACCAAGTTTTGGGAGGTGTACAGCTCCACAGCTCAGTGTTTAGTAGCCAGGTGGGATTTTCCCTGCATGCGTTACAATCATTTGTCATAACCTTTACATATAAAAAATTTGTATAAAAAGTTCATTTATTTGTTCCTGGTCGAGACTGCCGCAGTGGTCGAACTTCACCTCCCAGCAGGCAGTTCTAGTTTGAAACCACCTAGTTTTTCGGGACTAGGCCCAAATCAAAATCGGGGTTCACCATTCACCACAGTTCTTGTGGTGGGGGCAGATCCAACGGAGCCACATTTCTTGAATTGAATTTATTCAAGCCCATTCCTCGACACAAGGCATTCCTACTGTGAGACAGGCTCGATGCTATAAATTTTTTTCACTGAACCAAAAATTTCTTCATAATCTTGTAATTTACTGAGGCCTGGAGCTTTCTTTGGTGGCTTTTGCTAAAGCACCTGCAAAGCATCTGAGAAAACTGAGAATTCAATTCAACAGAATCGATTTTAATGTCGTTACCTTTCGACGGCAGCGCGTTTCAAAAAGCGCCCCAATAATTTCCTTCATTTCAATTTTTAACTCATTAACGTCCTCGCATGTGCACCAAAACCATTTGCCAGCAAAACAATTTTATCCTTTTGAAAAAAGAATCAAATCTCAATTTGGCCTCACCACTTTCGACATCCATTTTGATTGGCTGTATCAATTCATAAGATATTTGTTTGCAGGGTTTGTGTGTGTGTGTGTGTTGCTATGGCACTGGTGTGTTGTTTAATATTCACAGGCAGAGGAGTGGAGATGCTGTTTCCATTACAGGCTGTAATGATGATACAAGCCTCAGTGGAGAACAGCAGGCATAAATGTCAAACACTTGAAAATCCCTCTCTTCTTCACACACACATGTAGTAAGGTAACTACCCTTACACACACACACACACACACACACACACACACACAGTCACTTATTATGCATATTAAGAGACAAGTTTGCACTGAATCTCTAGAGCTTTTACTTTGTCCATGTACTTTACTGTAGCACAGAAACATCATAAGGGAGCAGCAGCATACAGACACAGAGATTAAGACAACACACATGTATATCTCATGGCTTTTCATTTCCCGCACTCGAAACCAGTCTCACTGGGGTTTAACCCCTTCCTACACCCAGTCTCTGTAATAGGAAATACTGTCGACTCAATTCATTTGTTTATCTCTTTGAAACAAACTTCATAATTCATTGGAGGTAAAGATCTTTTTTTTTTAAATCTTTAAAGCATGCATGCATAAATCTATATCACTATGTATATAATGTCAGTATCTAAATGGCGTCAATATCTCTATGGCATGGAGCTGCTTGATCTACAAAACAAACAACAATTTGTCACATTTGTTTTTTTTTATTACGAGATGGGACATTTAAGGGATCGGAATATTCTTTATAATTAGGATTATTACATATTTTATTTACTCTTTGTCTTTTATTCCATTTTATTCCCTACAGATGTGAGGTTCTAACTGCGTTTTTTTTTTTTTTTTTCTTTCAGGAAAACCGTCTGAATTTGATGAGTTTCTGGAAAGCCTGCTTGAACTCATCATTAAAGACAGTGTAAATGACGGGATTGATGAGGGAGTTGAGGTATCCCAGCCAGGTAAAGACATCATAAAGCACTGGGTCGTACGAACACTCCTTGCATATGGCCGTGAAGAGCGTGAACACAAAGAACGGGAGCCAGCAGACGATGAAGGCGCCCAGGATGATGCCCAAAGTCTTTGTCGCTTTCCTCTCCCGGGCCGCACACAGACGCTTCCTTTCCACCACACTGTCTGCCAGCTTCACTTTCACAATGTTCATGTACAGAGGCGACCCTCCTTCTCCACCGCCTGTGCTGTCAGAGTGTAGGTGTGCTTCCTGGTTGGCGGAATTAAGAGAACAGAGAGAGGAGCCTGCCGAGGTCTGGATGAGCTGTGCTGTGGTGAAACGTTTCCCCGAGGACGACGGTGTCTTAAAGATGCGAGAGCGGGCGGCAACATAGATCCGTCCGTAGAGGATGATGAGAAGCACTGTGGGAACATAGAACGCACCAAAGGTGGAGTACAGGGTGTAGGATATTTGATCAGTATTCACTATACACTCAGTCAGTTCCTCATGGGCTTTGGCCTGCCGCCAGAAAAGTGGGGGCATAGAAATTGATATGGATATCACCCACACCACCCCGACCATGATGGCTGCACGGCGCATGGTGCGGCGCTTCGAGTACTCCAAAGCATCTGTAATGGCCCAGTAGCGGTCAAGCGCAATTACACACAGATGCAGAATGGAGGCGGTGCAGAAGGTGATGTCAGACGACAGCCAAATGTCACAAACGATCTGCCCCAGCGACCAGGTCTTGCTGACTGTGTAAACAATGCTGATTGGCATGACTAAAATTGACACGAGGAGGTCCGTGACGGCCAGGGAGCCAATCAGGAAGTTGGCGGGCGTGTGAAGCTTCCTGGTCAGGAAAATGGTGGCGATGACAAAACCATTTGAAAGAACAGTAGCCAAGGTGACCAGAGCTAACACCGCAGACAAGGAGACCTGTAGGCCTAAGAGTGAGGTCTCGTTCCAGGGCGTAGCAGAGGGGGTGTCAGGAATCTCCGTGAAGTTGCTGGTGAAGTAGTCCACCGAGCTGTTGTCAAGGTCCATCTCGCCTGAGCTCATTTTTCTAAAAGGTTTCGTAATGTTTTACCACTATGATATAAAACTGAACATAGATCAGTTCAGACATTGCACTGAACGGAGGCCAAACTGACGGCACACTTAGTCAAGGATGTACAAAAGTTCTTCTTGTTCCCCTCCGTTCTTCTTCCTATCCTTAACTTTATCTCTTATTCATTCCCTATCCTGCGTGTTGCGATGTGAAGTCATAATGACCCTCAGTTCACAACCTGTGCTCCTGTAATTGCAGCGTACTAATTCATCCATTTCACCTCACAGGCTGTGGCAGCAGCAGCCGAAATGAATGCTAATTTGTATTCAGCTCCCATCAGACAGTAGCTTCTTCCTCTCTATTCCCTGGGATCTTATCTCATCTCCAACCGGCAGCCAGCCGGCAACAACACCTTCAGCCCAAGCCTTCCTATCTGTGAGCCATTAATGGGCTCCTCCTCTTCAATAAAGCCAAGCGGAGAGGACGATGATGACGACAGACACAGGTTTGCTTGTCGTGGCGCTTATCTGTTCTAAGGTCTGTGAGAAGGCTCCAGGTTTGTAAGGAAACTTGGCGGTGCCTCGTGCCTTTGACGACAGTTGAAGGCCAGGATGGTGCAATTACATGATTGGCATCAAAACCAATCAAGGAACCAATCTAGTCACCCCGGCTGCGGGTGGAATATTGTTTGACATCCATGTGGTTTTTGGCAGGTATGGAGATACGTGGTCTACAGTGCTACCAACAGCATCAGCGTTTCTTTTGTTTTCCCTGTTTCCAGTGTCGGTGTGTAAGCTGTTTTTTTTTTTTTCTCAGCTCTGTTTTTCCATAAATTTTTGCTTGTGATGGCCACACCGTTGACGAGGTGATCTTTTATGCAATTTCCTCTGTAGCAGTTTCACCCTGGGGGGAAAGAAATAAGAGAGAAAAACAGTGAAGGGAGATTAGCTACGTGCATCTTTAGCCCCACACCACACCAACCCTTACAAGCTGTAAATATACAAACAAGCCACCTACACAATAAGGTCAGTAAATACAAATGCACAGCTGCTCAACTCTTTGATGTTCCAGCTGAGCTTAATGAAAACACAGACACCCACAGACACATCATTATTGCGATGCTTTTTTAGCAGTAGTAACATCTTTGGTAAATGTGTTCAATCATTTGCTGTGTCTTAATAAAGGTCACAGGTGGCGCTGTAGTCAATTCTAGCAAATGGCTTGATGACAGCTGGAAATGATTTTCTTTCAAATATTATTTGATTATTGAAATGCAACATTGTCCTGGATTTTCACCTTGTGGCTGTTCCACCCACTCAGCAACTCTCTAAGCCACCCCATTATAGTCTACGTCACCTTTTTGTTGCCTTGCGTACTGCACTGTTAGGGCAGCAGTGTCCAAACCAGTCTCTCACTCCCTCAGTTTGACGTTATTCACATATTGTGATAAATGAGAATGGGACTTTCTTTGAATGCTGCATCGACACCCACCTTTAAACTTCTGACTGTTATGGGATTGGTTTGATGGAGTGTGTAATGCTGGTAATAGGAACAGACCTTCAGGGTCAGAGACTAAGGTATAGTTCTCTGCTTTTCCTCAGAAACATCAGAACAGCATTACATTTATTTATACAACATACCAAAAAATACCTAATGAAAAACAATGGGTCATTTTTAAAAAAATTGTTATAATGTTTATTAAACATTTCTGTTCTAAAAAATATATATTTGCTGGAGGGGGCGAGGAGGAGGGCAACACCATACGGCTACAGCTACGTGATATTTTTTGAGTGATTATGAATCATTATAATATTCCTGAATAACCACCTTTACTTCTACAGTGTTATAAATGTGAGCACATCGTACTACTACATTCACAGTTTATAAGAAAGGACAGTACAAATAAGAAACTGCCTTTTACATTTAATGACCTTTAACAGTGAATAAACCATAGCACTGTCTTTACAGTATAGCTAGTTGGTTTGAATACTGCATTATTGACCCCCAACTGTGTTTGCGTTGATGGTGGAGTCAGGACGTGTACTGTCATCTGCCTTATTTTCTACATTAAAGCAGTGACCTTAATCCATATCTGGCGTCATGCTGCTAACAGCACACAAAGGCCACTTACATAAGCCAGGATTCAAAGTCAAACACAAGAAACACAAAAGTGTAAAGACACTATAGGACACTAACTAAGGAGGAAGGTTAATGAATGCATGTACCATATACCTGGCATTGATGTACTCAAGGAACGTTTATGTGGGTTTACAGACGAGATAATGCTGTGTGCAAGCTGATGCAAAAGGCAGTAGCATGCAAGATGAAGACACATTTCTCCAAAGTAATTTCATTTAGAGAAAGTTACATTCCATAAGAAGAAGAAGAAGAAAGAAAGAAAGAATGAACCAATCACTGAATCTAAACGTCTTAAACACCATTTATAAAATCCACTATTTCTTTTATCCAGGGATCTCTGGTCTCATCTTGGTAGGAGCTAATAGTTGCTGTGGAGACCAAGAAGAAGTTCAACAACTTGACTTGCATCTCACGTTGTGCACAACTCGTAAAAGACCATTTCCTAAATCTCTCAACACTGATGTGGTACTTGTTTGTTCACATATTTTATATTCAAAAATGAAAGCAAATGCAATGTCACAAATTCTCAATATGCTGAAAAAGCATTTTTCAACCTTCTCAGGGTGAAGACAATTGTGGTACAACAGGGAGAATGTACTGTACAACCATCTTAGTAAGGAAAAGGTTTGTCTGTTAGCTTTCATCACTTAGTCCAGTCTTTCAATATTTCCTCCTGGTACATTGCCTTTCTAAGAAACACGATGCCTGGAATATTTGCATTTTTTTCTCCTTAGTCGTTACTGTGTACTTGTCAGGAGCAAACAAGGATTAAAAATTGGACAACTTTCATAGTGAGGGTTAATTATTATTCCCATTATTATCGATGCATACCCAAGCATGATGAAGAGCATATGGTATTCTATAGTAATTAATAATAAATAAAGAACTCGACCTTTTTAATTTTGTTTACCATTCACTGATGTAGGATATTATGATCAAACATGGCAACCTCCCCAAAGAAGTCCTGCAGTAAATGGCATAAAATTAACAACTCGAAAACCAAGTTCATACATATTAATAACTACAAGGCTATTATTACAATTTTTACATCTTCAATTTCTGCTCATACAAACAAAATATTGCATAACATTACCTTAATCTAATACGCTGGAGCTTTAAGTAACGTTGGTATTAAGCATTTTTTCGTAATGACTGGGAGTTTAGGTCAAGACCTGCCTCGTTAATGATACAGAAATGGTTCAGAATGAATTTAATGATGCTTTTACTCTGACTGTAAATAAACATTCCCCATTTCCCATGCAAATTTACTGTTAAAGGTTGGAGTTTCTCTCCACTTATCTTCTTAAAAAAAATAAAAAATTAATGAACCCAACCTTTGGATCTGACCATTTCTTGGCATCATGTGGATTTTTATACATTTATTATTTAATTTTTTTAAATCTCGTGGCATATGGTTATAATGAAACCAGCTTCAGTTCTCAAGAAGTGAATCACTGTGATTCAAAGAGAAACTGACCGTGTTGCCTGCAGGTATGAATAATACAGAACTATCACAGGACGGAAGGCTGACTCGCGTTCCAATGAAAGTGGTAGGAAATGGAATGTGGTTCCATGTCCCAGTGGGGATGAGGACTTGAAATGACTGTTAATCACCACGGACCCTGCAGCTCTCTAGCTGTAGTTAAGGTGGGCTCTAATTCATTATTACACCGAGGTACCATGGACTCATCGTCTAAAGTACAGAGGAAACTGAAGAGAAAAATGACAGTTAATGAAGTCCGTGCAGATGACAGCAGAAACCACTTGTACGTAGTGTAACAACCTACGCAGCAAGAACTGACATAAATGATTATGGTGTCATCGACGTTTGGAAGAAAAAAAATCTGTCTTTTTGCTACATACCTAACATTTTGCTCTTCCAGCCGCATCTAAAGACTTGAAATCCTTGAATTAATTGTACACTTAGTAGATAAGAAGTAGAAAATTGAATCACATATTTAAAACAAAATAAAATTACAAAATGAAAAAAGCTACCAGACCATGTGGAGAAAAGATACAAAAAAAAGGGTTAGGGTTAGACGTCCATCAAACTGGCCATTGAAATTGTAACAGAGACAAATTTAAGTTAACCAAAAGTATAGAACAACGACTATGAAAAGTCTGAAAAGCTTATTCAGAAAATTTTGTTTAGAATTAACCAGAAATATGAGAAAATAATCAAAAAATAATTTGTGGTTAGCTGAAGCACAGCTGAATGTTACTGAACGTAAAAAAAAAACAGCTAGCTTACACCAAGACTGGATAAAGGAAGAACGAAAGGAAAAATCTATTCAGCACTTAAGCTTTTTTTTGTAAATCTTGCCAGTTTAAATATAAACCTTGGAGGCAGTTTGACATGTGACAGCTTGACAAACAGCTATTATAGGATTTCTCAACCTTTAGTTATTGGAGCCGTTAATTCAAAGTTTCACTCACATTTTGCAGATTTTTCGCATTTTCCTGCACTGTGACATTCATGTGGTCGGGAGTTCAGTCGATTATTGGCTGTCCCCCAGTGAAGAGTGTGTGTATTGTTTAACTGAGAAAAGAAAAGGTCACAGAGTACTGATCGTAACCACAGAGGAAAAACTGTTTTAACCCAACTGTGTTCTCTTCTCTCTGATGCAGCTCTTAAAACTGAAAAATAGGATAAATCTCAAACTTTTTAGTGTGAGTCCTACATGAATAACCGTACAAAATACAATTTCATATATTTGGTAATTTTCTTTTAGCAGAGGCTTGAAGAGCACAATAAAATTCACAAATGATGATTCGAGAACATTTATAATTGTTGGAATGTTTATATACTGTATATACATAGACACATAGTGTATATCTATCTATCTATCTAGCCATATCTAACGCAACAGGTAACCCAGCTCCTGGTACACACCACGGTCATCTCCCGTCTCAACTAGCAAGCCTCACAGCCTATGCTACAAAATCTCTACAGATGGACCAGAACACAGCGGCGGGTCTGGTCATTAATCAGCCTTAAAGGCACATGTCACCCCTCTTTTCACTGAGCTACACTGGCTACCCATAGCTGCCTGCATCAAATTCGAATCACTTCAATGCTAGCCTAAACATGCTAGCCTACAAGGTACTTAATGGGTCTTCTCTGATCTAATTAAGTACCCTGACGCAAGCTTATTTTACCCCACGATGTCACTGAATACAAGACAATCCAGGCTCTTCTCATGGATCGTTCCATGCTAATGGAATGAGCTTCCAAGCACCACCAGAACAGAGGCGTACCTGTGTGTCTTCAAGAAGCTCTTGAAGACCCAGCATATCAGAGAGCACCTCATGCGAAGGGAAGGGAAGTACAGGAAAGTGCTAGGCACTTTCCTGTACTTCCCTTCGCCTTCAACACTTATCTCCACCCTAGTTTAGAAGTCCCACTTAGTAGTCTCCTTTCAGGAGTTCCTCTCTGTAGCTTGATTGTTAATTATCCTCTTTAAGTCGCTTTGGATAAAAGCATCTGCTAAATGCATACATGTAAAGGTAATACCACACTGGAGGCGCCATTAGGGTACCGGTATGTGGTTCGGGGCAGATGTGATAATCGCTGATGTGATAACCGCTACGGAAGCACAAAAATAATGGGAAATTTATTGATCACCCACTTGGGAAATAGTTGTGTTATTAACAGGCTGCCCAGCGGGAGGCGCCAAGTATGTGGTTCCTGTGGAGCTCAGACCCAGGACCTTCTGTGTGTAAGGCAGGTGTGATAACTGCTATACTTTGGTACCACAACAACT